GCAGTCCTTCATCCCATGGCCTGACCCAGCCACGTAACTGGGCAGTGCTGTCACATGGAGCCGGAAATATAAACGTGGGGACGAGTCAGGGGCAGGTTGGCTGTTTGCAAGGTGGCACCTGGCTCAGAGAGAGGAAACTGGACCTCACACCCGGACAGGGATGGTGATCCAGGGGCGATGAGCGAGCACCACCCAGGAGAGCCACCCTCACACCCCTCCCAGGTAGGCTTGGGCAGTGATGGCTCATCTTGTGGCGTGGTGGCATTGCCACCTGCCTGGACACCTCTCAGTCCCACAGCCACAGGGTGCCAGGGGGACGCAACCATCACAAGGACCCCATCTGAATTTTGGGGGGCAGGGGGTTATTAAGAAGGGGTACAAGCTTTAGATTGAGGAGGCAGTGCCACAGGCTGCCAGCCTCAGGCTCCTGCACCACGCTGGAAATTTCCCTGGAAAAATCATAATGATACTGTTCCCCACTGCCAGAGGGCAGCTGTACATGGAGGCAGTGATGCCAGGAGCTGTGCCCTCGGGCACACCTGCACTCACCGGATGGTTTAAGGCAGCCTCGTGGGTTTTTTGGAACCAGCAGGGTCAGTTACTTCAGGCTGTGATCTTCCTGGAGCAAGGACTAAGTGCAGTGGCAGCTGAGCCTGGGGAACAAGCTGGTGCTGAAGCTGCTTTGCTGCCGTGTGTCGTGCTCTTGCATGTGCCAGGAATGAGCTTTCCTTGTAATGGGAAGCCAGCGCAGACAATTTAAGTCATTATTAATAGATACACTTGATCTGAGGAAGGAAAATGCTTAATGTTTTGTTAAATGAGGTGTGCTCTGCAAACAGTGGAATGCAGGGAGAAGGCTCAGATGCTCCCCCCGCATTAGAGATTAATGAGTGCGAGGCCACCACTAACAAAGTGCTCATCCTCACCCATATCTGGGGCTCTGGGCTGTGCAGGAGCATCCCTACTGAAGGAAGGACACAGCAGGATGATCCCAGGCTTAATTCGTTGCAGGGAAATGTTTAAATATCAAACATTTAATATCCTTTGACCCTCAGGAGTGCTGTGAGCACAGGTGATGTGCCCAAGGCTGTGCAGCTCACCAGTGGCAGGGGAAAGGCTTCAGGGCTTCCAGCCTTTCTCCACCACCCAAAATCGCTGCCTAAAGGCAACAAGTAGTTTACAAGCAGTTGAACCCCTCCCATTTTTCTTCTAAACCCCATCAGGGACCTTCTCCCCCAACTCCTGGTCGGCCCCAGGATGCCCCACGGGTGTCCTGGGTGCCACCTCCTCTCTGCAGTAAATCACAGCTGCCTGTGCAGACATATTCCCCTTAAATCCACAGCAATATCGCTCCATCCTGACATCACTCCACTCCTGGGTGGAAACAGCACTTGGCTCAGCTGGCAGGAGCCCAGGTTCATGAGGGTTTATGTGCCACTCAGCTCCACGAGGACTTTTTCTCTCTACTCTCGCTGTCCCGGACTATTTTTAACCCCCTCCCTCAGCAAGGCTGTTAATCCTGTCCTTACCCGGACCCAAGATGTGAGTGATGTGTGCAAATCAATGCTGATTAAAGGGTTGGTGAGAAGGGCCACAGGGTGTTTCAGCACACTCTCAATGGCAGTTTAATGCCAGACACACACATACACACTTCCCTAGCAAAATTAGCCCATGTTTGATCGAGAAGGCCTGGGCTCCCTGCTAAATATAGCCAGGGAGGCGATCCCTGCTGTGGGAAGGTGATCCTTTGGCATGAGCAGGACATATGAAGGCAAGATTCCTCTTCATCACCTTGAAAATATTATAGGGTTGTTAGTCAGAGGAGAGGAAGAGCAAGGCAGGGCTGTGGAAACACAACCCAGGACAAGTTCCTGAGGAAAACGATCCCTGTCTGTGCCACTCCCTGAGTCTCCAAACCTCCGGCGCCAGCTGAAGGACCCCGGGGGATAAAACATCCCAGAGGGTGTCTTTCATAACAGAGCAATGACTTGAGGAGGTGGCTTAGCTATTACCAGAAGGGGGAATGGGCACAGAAAGGCTGGATGTAGCAGAATAGCAACAAGTGGTACAGGCAGAGAGAAAAATGAGGGAGTTGAAGGCTACAAACCAACCGAGCTGTTGTGGACAGCCAGGTGGGAATGCCAGCCTTGAGATCAAGGGGAAGAGAGGGAAAAATAGGGAAGACCACTTAGGTTGTGTCATCCAGAGCCTCCAAGTCATGAGATGCCAAGCTCTATTCTTGTCCCCACCATGGATTTCTCCCGTGACCTTGAGGGGAGGAGCCACAAGCTGCAGGGCAGCAGGAGCCGGGAATGCTCTGCTGGCATCAAATGGCAGGAGAGTCTGGGTGCTTTCCCTCTCCTATACAAGGCACTGTCTGGGAGAGCAGCTTCCCCTGCCAAAGCCCCAGGAGGATTTGTACCTCGCTGGTCTTTACATCCCTGCAATGACACCCTAGAATTTTAGGCTGGGCCACTAGCATGTTGCTCAGATTTTTCCATATAGCAACCACAAGACTGGAAAAGCATACGAGCACCTGAAAGAAAAAAAAATTGAGTGTTAGGTAGAGAAAAAAACACTTCCCAGAGGTCAGAGGACACAAATAAGGTTATATGGGGGGGGGCAGACAGCAGCTGACTCAATTTTTTTGTTTGTTTTTTTACTTCCCTAAACACCAGGCACCGTTTTCCCGCATCCTGCAAATAAACCAGCAATTTAATCCAAGAGGTGCTGCTGCAGCAGGGCCTGGTGACCGCCTGACCCTCATTGTACCCCCTGCCCATCAGCATCCCACCCTGCTGGAGTTATAAATACGACACAATACAGCCTTAACTGGATTATAATTAGACAATGAGCCCGGGAGGACAGAAACAATGAACTATATAAGCCGGTCTATCCTCCCAGCCAGGACCTGCACACACGGGAAACACTGGAATGGGTGACTTACCAGGACCTGCAATAGGAAAGCTGCGGATTTCCTCCCAGTTGGATTCGGAGCATCCTTTAACAGCTCATGTTCCTGTCACCAGGTTTTACACAGCCCTGGTCACGGGAGACCTGAGGAGCCTCGAGGTCCTGACTGACCGATACCATCAAGATGTCAACCTGGTTTTTGAGATCAGTAGAAATGAGCTGGAGTGGCAGGTGAAAAGCCAAGCATCTTATGGACTCTCAGGTACTTTTTCTTTAAAGGCCAGGCCAGAAAAAACTTTAAAATGGGTATTTACTAACCCTAAATAGAAGAGCTATGGCACATTCAAGTGCCTTAAGTGTTCCTGAGGTGGCTGGTTTCTGGTTAGCTGGCTGTGCCTGCAATTTTAACCATAAATATTCATCACTTTTAATATTTCCTCCTCTTCTGCATATACTAACCCACCAGAGGAGCAGGGAAGTGTAAAATCTGTGCATCCACATGATTTTTTCAGGTTGGGATTAGACACTCTGTTGCTTGGGAATGTTTGCAAGAGGGGTCACAGCCCAAATTCCTCATGCAGGGGCTCAGGAAGAGCAGCCTGGTCCTATGTGGGAGGAATAAGATGTTCCCAGGTTAGTGGTACCTGGTGCCTTCCCCGCTGAGATGCTGCTCAAAGTCCCAGGTGCTCCCAGAGCACCATGCTCAGTAGATTACTGATGGTCCCAGAGGTCCTGGAGCTGCTGGGAAATGCAACACCTCACTCTAGCTGTGCCCAAACCCAACACATCCCGTGCCCAGCCCAGCATCACCCTCCCAACATGCTCCCACCCGGCTTGGGTGCCTTCATTCCCAGCAAAGACAGCTTTTCCCTCCCTGGGGAATGGGTGAGCTGCTTTTTAGGCACACAGGGTGTCCCAGGCAGCTGGTTGCAGTCAGGGTTGTTGGCTTACCCAGCCCGTGCCCTGTGAAATCCTGGACATGGACGCACCCAGGGAATTTTGCTTCCTTTCTTGCCATTCTCGGTCCGAGCAGCCCCCAAGTGTAACGAGGCTCTTTGGAGCACCCAAAGCTGCCTGGGAGCAGAGGGAACAGCGGGCAGGGCTGGGTGTGGAGCTGGCCCAGCCGCAGGGCTCTGGGCAGGGGGTGGCAGCCCAGGTGACCCCGGGCAGGGCTGGGTGTGGAGGTGGCCCAGCCGCAGGGCTCTGGGCAGGGGGTGGCAGCCCAGGTGACCCCGGGCAGGGCTGGGTGTGGAGCTGGCCCAGCCGCAGGGCTGTGGGCAGGGGGTGGCAGCCCCGGTGACCCCGGTCCGTGCCCCCGCAGGTCTGTGGGCGCTGGAGCGGCGCTGGGAGCGGAGCACCCCGCTGTGCCTGGCCGCCCAGCACGGCCACCCCGCCGCCCTGCGACACCTGCTCCACCGCAGAGCCCACCCCGACCTGGCCCCGGGGCCGCGGGGACCCCTGCACGAGGCCTGCCGGGGGGCACACACCGACTGCGTGGAGCTGCTGCTGGAGCACCGGGCGGACCCCAACCTGCGCGGCGAGGACGGGCTGGCCCCGCTGCACCTCTGCACCACCCAGCACTCCCTGGGGTAAGGACCGGGGCTCCCATCGGCAACTCTGCTGATGCCATGCCTGGGAATCCTCAAGGCCAGGTTGGACGGGGCTTGGAGCAACCTGGGCTGGTGGAAGGTGCCCCTGCCCATGGTGAGGGGTGGGACTGGATGAGCTTTAAGGTCCCTTCCAAACCAAAACCATTCTGAGACTCCATTCACACACCCCAGTGGTGTTGCCCATGGGGTGTAAAAAAGATGCTATGATCCATGGCAAGGCTTCCCACGTGCTCCCACATGTTCCAGCTCCATCAGCAGAGACAAAAAAAGGACATTTTAGTGCCAGGCTTGTTGCACAGCCCAAGTCTCCTTCCCACAGGCAGGAGCAACCCAGCCTCACATGCCTTTTCTCCCTCCTCTGTTCTATTAGTCCTGCAATCAGTGTGTTCCACATCCCAGGTCCAGCACACTCTCCCCAGGAGATGCTCAGGATGGTTCCAGTCATGGGACACACGTCATCCCAGCCTCCTGCGCTTTTCCTTTTTTTTTTATAAAGAACTCGGTCACTTGATGTCCTGATGGAACTGCTTAGGGCCATGGTGAATTCCATCACCTGGCAGCTTCCATGGAAAGCCACCCTGGCTTCAATCCTCTCCCCTTCAGGCAACGGGTGGTGAAAGCAAAGTTCCCACTGCAGGTCCAACACATCATGGACCAGGTCACAGGGAAAGTGCTCTGAAGAAGGAAAGCAGCCAGAGAGGAAAGGATCTGCAGATTTGCAGATGTAAATATCTTGATCCCAGCTTGTAAATAAGAGTCTCTGCAAGATGGCCAAAAATCAAGTATTAATCAAGTTTTGATTCAGCCAAAAATCTAGGGGTGAATCAAACACATCCTTGGTGTGATGAGGGTTGGAAGGAGCAGGATAGATAAGGGAGGATGCTACGAGAAGCCCTCATTGTTAATAAGGAGCTGGCTTTAATTCCTTCACCTGAGCTCCCTTTAGACCTTAAAGTTTCAGTCTCCAGACTCCAAGCCATGATAAATTCCCTGTGATTCCATGATTTTAGGCTTCACCAGTCTGCTCTCCCCCCGAAGGGATGGGGCAACCAAACCAACCTGTGTGTGGAGAGGACCCCGTGGCCCACAGAGGTCCAGGTGTCCTGGTTTTGGCCAGCTGATTCCAAGCTTGGAAAAAAATCTGTATCTCCATAAAAAACGAGCCGTTGCCACGGATTTGCATGTTCTGTTCCCCTGGAAGCTGGAGGGGGATGGCAGGTGAGGCAGCACATGGCAACACGGGGATCAGACAGAGCCAACGTGGAAACAGCTGAGTTATAAAGCCCTTGAATATTGGGGCTTTATAATGGAAATGCTGAGAGACCCTTAACTACGCCCGGCGCTACAGGGGCTTCTGCAATAACTAAGCCAACTCCCTTGAAAGATCAAAAATTAATAGACATTTCAGACAGGTTTTGAGGTTTCGACCACTGCTTTTCAGTCGCAAAGACTTTGCTAAAGTTAGAGACTGAGGAGGTCAAGCTTTAGGTAACACAAACATTTCCTCTTTGATTAGGGGGAGACTACTTTACCTCGCCTTCTTTTTTTTTATTTTATTATTTTTTTCGTTGAGTAGTAGATTTTAGGTCATCCTTAATTTTTTACTGACAATAAAGAGCAGGTCATTGACCTACATAGAGAGCTATTTTATTTTTCTCCCTCTCGATAACAATGGCCAGAACACCTATGTGCCAGGTTCTTCTGTATTCCCATATACTCGGCAATTCACCATGGGGGCAGGACTTAAAACCTTTGAGCCTCTCAGTGACTGGGATAAAAAAAATTATCTGGGCTTCCTTCCAGCCATTTGAGCTTCAGAATCCATGAGATTTCAACAAAAAGGATATCAGAGCTTTAATCTAGGAGCTTTTTGAAGAGATGGAAAAAAAAGTTCCAGTAAAGTTCAGTCTTACCTTCTTCACTTTAGGAGCTGTTCATGCCAACGTCGGCCTATTTAGTAGAGTTCCTCTCCTTGACCTCTTTTTTACAGCCGAGATAATTAACATGGTGGGGTAAGATGAGTCTCTAAATTCACTGCACTCTCTCCCCGGCGCTCTCCCTTTTCCCTCTTAAAGCTGGGATGATTAAAGGAGTCTGCCTTTATTGGCACCCCGAAAAAAAATAAAATAAAAATAATTGAGGGGGAGAGGAAGAGTCTCGGCGGTGCCAGGGAGGGAAGAGCAGGCGTGGGGTGGTGGGAAGGCACATGGCAGGGATGCAGGACATGGCTCCCACCTCCCATCACGGTGCCAGACACCACCATGTCTGTGGAGTCCTCTTTCAGAGCTGGGAGTCTCCCTGAACATCCCAGGTTTCCCGTGAGACCAGGGAGAGCCTACCTGGAGAGAAATCCAGCCTTCCACAGAGGGAAGAGGGTTCAGTCAAGCCAAGGGGTGGGAAAAGATGTCACCCCTACCTCCAGGCAACTCGAGCTTATGGCTGAGCGTTCACTTCTTCAAGCTTTCACTCCACCCTGGGAGCTGAAACCAGAGGGATCTTCCTGCCCCGAGCCTCCAGCGCTGAGGGATGGGGCATAAATGATGGGATGAGTCCAGGCAGGAGGCCAGTCCAAGGGGCTCTATGCAAGGATTGATGGGGTAGGGAGTGAGCACAAGAGCTGCCAGAGACAGGGTGGGTTTTGCTCAGGGGGAGTGTTGGATGAGGGAAGCTCATCATGGGAGGAATTGGGAGCAAACGGGAGCCAAGCAGGAAAGCAGGTACCTAAAAAGGCAACATGGTCAAGATCAGGCTCCCAGACACCAGGGAGATGGGTACAGACCTGGTGGTGCAGTCCGTGGCACTCTCCAGCTATTCCAGCACCATCCTAGACCCACTGTTCCTTCTGGCTGTGGGAAATAAGCATTACTACAAATAAAAAAACCCCAGAGATTTGAAAAATCAGCATTTAGCATCATCTACGGCTAAACCTCATCCTCTGCTCTGTTCAGCCTTGCTAAAGACAAAACTCAGAGCATTTGGAGCCATTGTTTTGGGAAGTGATCATCCCACCGGGCAAAACCAGCTCCTTCCTGGGTCTTGAGCAAGAAACAAGGAGCCCAAAAGCAGGGGCAGGGCTGACCCTGCTCCCTACAGGTGTGTCAACACGAGGGTTCTTACATACGAGCCTTGTCCGGCCCCAGGGAGAGGGGGAAAAACAAACTGGAGGCTTTTCCTTAAGAAAACTGGGCATCTGAGTGGGTTTTTGGGACAGGAATTTTCCTTCGGGCTCCGCTGCCCCAACCTCCTGCTCCTCCTGCTGGTCATTCATAGCATCCCATTTAAAGCTGAATCCCACTTTCCCAGCCTGGGCATTTTTCATCTCCACCTGAGCTACGGGCAGGAGCCATCCTGGCAGTGGGATGGCAACGGGCACATCCCGCCCTGGCTCTATGGGTGGGTGAAGAAGGAAAATCAAACCCAAATCATTTTCTCCTGTTTATTTGAGCCAGGAGCTCAGCACGAGGCAAACCAACACCAGTCACCACAGATTTATTTTAACCTGACAAGTGCCCTGCCCAAGCAAGGAGGCTTTCAGATGTGTTACCCATCACCTGCAAATGAGTTGGGAAGGGTTTGGAAGTGAGTCTAAGTTAGCCAAAATTAGGTACCAGGCTGGATGGAAAACAAGCTTGCTTGCTTTGCCACTGTGCCTCTGAATTTCTGCTGAGCTAAACCTAAAACCAGACTAAGTATATTCTTTCAGTATTCCCAGAAAATTGGAGAGGAGCCCTTAAAAGAGCATCAAGCCATCACTAGGCCTTATCTAATGGGATTTTAGTCTACTCTGATGGCAAAAAAAACAAAGAAGTCAGAAATGCTGGTGGAGTGTTAGAGCATACGAATTCATGCAGAGAGATTTTAAAGGTTAAAAAGAGTATCTACCCAGAACCTGCTGATGCCCTGCCATCCAAGCAGGAGGCACCCTTTCCATGCACCAGAAGAGATCACCTCATATTTACAGTTCCTTACGAACATTCCCTCTTTGCAGAGGGAGGAGCACCCAGGGGGAAAATTCAATATAAGCTGACTATAAACTTTCTTCCAACAAGTTGGACTTTGAACTTGACAACCGAAATGAATAACCCCTCAGTTAAGCAGCACCTGGAAAGGATGGCATTTCCACAGAAGAACGTTTGGGATGTCTAGCAGGAGGTCAAGAGGAATCAATCTCCCTGAATTTAATTCTATGTAAGGGAAAACCTCATGGCACAGGGAAGCTGCTGGGCTGGAGGAGCTGGATACAGCTCCTGGCTTTGCCAATCCATGTTGTACCACCCTTCACCTGGAAATTAAGGGCAGAAGAATATTCCACTGTCTTACCCATGCAGGTGGAAATCTTCAGTCTGGGCACTCTCCAAAACCAGGGTGATGCTTATGCTCTGGGCACAGCCACCTCCTCCCCTGGGAAGGAGCAGGGGTGTTTTAAGTGTGATCTATTAAAAAAACATAGAACAAAAGGGGATTTTTCTCATGCACCTGGCTGCTGCATTTTTGCAGTCAAGTCAGAAATGGGTTTTTTCTCCATTTTTCCCTGCAGAACCATCCCTTATTTTTTCCTTGAATACATTATTTTTATTAGGTGCCATTATTAGGGTGCCAGACCTACCTGTGACATTAGGATTAAGCTAATCTGGAGAGGTCCCAAGAGAATCATTATAATTAGGGCTACAAATTCCTTGCTGACAAGGACGGACAAGACTAGTAAATGTAATGGAGTGACTGAGTGATTTGCTCTAATAACAGATTCCCTCTGACAAAGTTGTACCCACCAGCAGCAGACAGCCAGCCCCCCAAAACCCTCAGTGAGATAAGCCATTGCTTGAGAAAGAGATTCAACCTCCTACAGAGTAAAAAGGGAATTGTAAAGTAAGGATCTGGTGATTTTGGGGCTGGCACAACCCAACCTTGATCAGCTCCCCCACAACCACATCCCCAGCAGAGCCCATCCACAGCGGATGCCTCTGGTGAGGACCAGTGAGGGCTGGCACATCTGGGAGAATTACACCTGCCCAGGCTGCAGGAGCGACCTGGCCCCACAGATCCTGCAGAAATTATTTTCCTGGCAAACTCAGGCTTGATAAGCACGAGAAAAGGAGCCCAAGGAGGTTTTTGTAAACCCTGCACTGACAAGGACAGTGGATGTCTCACCAGCTCCCATCAAATCATGGGGGAGGTGATGCTGCAGGTCCAGAAAGAGTCAAATGTATTATCATTATTATTATTATATCATTAATTTATTATTGTCATTGTCCCCACATATGGTAGCGTTCACCTGTGCCAGGAAAAACAAACAATATCCTGGCACCGTCCTTCCTCCCTGGGGCTCCTCTTCTTTCCCATCCCTGCTGCTGGAAGTATCAAGCTGGGACTTCCCTCCCCCCTCAGCTCCCCATCCTTTTGCTTCTGTGTCAGCCCAGAACTTCACTCAGGGCTCTGGTGACACCTGGGCTAATAGAAAAGCTTATTAGAGGAAAATTAAAGAGACAGGGAGGGTTTAAAGGCTTATGCTCCTCCCTAGACTCCAGCCAGCCACTGCTGAGGCTTCCCGAAGGATGGCTCTCCTCACCTCCCTGGCAGCATCTCTTGGGAAACACGAGCTCGCGCGTATTCAAGGTCCAGCTTAGCTGGCACGTGGCTCTGCCCCCTCCAAAAATCACCCCCTCTGTGCCACAGCAACGAGCTGAGCGCCGCGCGGGTGAACCCGGCTGCCGACAGCCCTGCCCGGGCGGTGACATTGAGCCGCGCCGGCCCCGGCGGCTCCCGGCAGGAGAGGGAGCAGTCACTTTGATTCATTCAGACTGCCCGATCACATCCGTTTACTCACACACACACACCGAAAAAAAATAAAATAACCCCCCATCAGGGCACAGCAACCGTCTGTAACCCCCATCCACTGTCAGAAGGATGCAGGCAGAAGGCTCTGATGAGAACTGGTGTCCCCACTTTGCAGCAGCCGCGACCCCTCTTTGCACCCAGGCACGGTGATGTTAGAGGCGGGATTGATTGCCTTGATTTAGTCCTCCTGGGAACTGCAGGTGATGCTGCTCCTTCATCACCGGGTGCCAAACAAGCCACCAAAACTCATTTCTGCAGAGTTAAACCATGTGCAAAGGTGTTTCTTTTCAGGGTAGGCAGAAAACCAGGACTAGGACTTCAACTCCATGATCCTTGTGGGTCCCTTCCAACTCAGGATATTCCGTGATTCTGTGAAACACAACCCTTCAGTCCTTTCTGGGGCAGGAGCCCAACACAAGTGTTTGTGTCCCTTAAAGGGAAAAAGAGAATCCATTTTTATACCCAAGCAAGTGGACCTAGGAGGGTGGGACCCTGGGGGGTCAGGGGGGGTCAAAGTGGTCAAGAATGGTCAAGGTGGTCAAAGATGGTCAAAGTGGTCCAGGATAGTCAATCTGGTCAATCTGGTCAATCTGGTCAAGGACAGTCAAGGCGATCAAGGATGACCATTCATGAATGATGCTGCTCAAGGGCAAGAGGGACACATTGCCCAAACCACCATTACCCCCACTGTGGAGGGCACCAGGACACAGTGCCACCCTCCCCAGCCTCTGCTGCTCCCTCCCAAAATCCTCGAGCGCCACAACTCCAGCTCCGACACGGCCTCCACCCTCACCCCACACCGCCTCCCCCTGTGACCCCTCACGGTTCCCGCTCCAGCCCGCCCTGGCGGTGCCCCCTCAGCCTCCCCCCTCCGTGCAGGTGTGCCAGGCTGCTGCTGAGGCACGGGGCCGCCGTGGACCTGCCGAGCGCGGCGTGCGGGGAGACGGCTCTGCACGTGGCGGCCCGGCACGGCCTCAGCGACCACGCGCGGCTCTACCTGCGACGCGGGGCCCACGTGGACGCGCGCAACGCCCGGGGGGAGACGGCCCTGGGCATCCTCTGTGCCATGGCTCCCGGGGCCGGCGAGGATCACCTGGAGCTGTGCCGGCTGCTGGTGGCCCACGGCGCCCGCGTGGACGCGCGGGACGAGGCGCGGAGGAGCCCCCTGCACGGGGCGTGCGGGGCGGCCCAGGCCGGCCTGGCGCGGTTCCTGCTGCTGCGCGGGGCCGACGTCAACGCCATCGACTACGACGGCCTGAGCCCGCTGGGCCTCGCCCTGCAGAGCGCGGCCTCCAGGGCCCGGCGGCGGCCGCACCTCACCGTCCAGCTGCTGCTCAACCACGGCTCCCAGAGGATATGCCCCCCCGCCTTCCTCAAGGTACTGGCCCCAAAACGGCCCCCGCGCGCGTGGGATTTCACTGTTGGGGTCGGGGTGCTTTGGGAAACAAAAGGATGGGGTGTGGGAGGATTTGGGAGTCCGGGCAGGGGAGCGGGCAGTGGTGCTGGGGCTGGTGGTGCTGCTGGGAATGATGGAAATGAAACCTTGGCGTGGTGTGGCAGTGCGTGGAGCAGGCAGGGCAAAGGGCAGGGTGCAGCCAGCACGGCTCTCAGGGGTCGGCAAGGAGGATGTTTTCCTGCCTGGGGAATATCAGAGACAGGCTTGGTACATCAGCCACCGGTGCAGTCGCCTCATGGCTCTGCATTCCATTGATTTTACATCAAATAATAAAGAAAATATGATCCTGGCTTGTCACGCACCAGCCAAAAATGCAAACAAGAATCACGGGCTGCATCCAGAGGAACAAGTGCCTCAACAAGGCAGCTCTTCCCACTACTTCACAAATGGGGAAAGATCTCCAAAATGTGCCAGGAGAAACCCTAACCCCGCCTCATCCTGGCATGGTGAATGTTCTCCCCTCTGGGACCTGCCTCTCTGTGTGACCCTCCCTTTGCCCATGGGTAGGTGCTGAGGTCCTGTGCGGCCGTACCAGAGGTCATCGAGGTCCTCTTCAATTCCTACTCACAAATCCCCGTCTCCCAGGAGTGGGCCGAGGCCGTGCCAGAGGAGGTGTTCCAGGTGAGACAGTGCCGGGCTTTGGCAGGGATGGCTGAGGCCCAAGGAGGGGGTTTACCCACAAAATGGGTTTTTTTCCCCACCCAAACTTCACTTGGATGGGGAAAAAAAAAATTGGAATAGTCCCCAGAGCACCATGGCACACCTGATTCATCCAGGTTTGCATCCCTTTAGCTCCATCGACATCAAAACCCACATCCCTGCCCAGCCTGCAATAAAATCCACTGCCAGCATCTGCAAGTGACCCTGGAGCCAGAGCACTGCCCAGCAGGAGCCCACAAGACTCATTCTGATTTGAAAAAGCTCGTTCCTGGACAAGCAACAGGTCTGGCCAGCCCGCTCTGGCACCATCCGTGATGGCTTTCCCATCTCAGAAACAGGGTCTCTTCTCCAAGGGCTTCCCATGGGAATGGTGCTGCCAGTGGCCATGAGGGCACCCTCCCCACGAGGGCAGCTTTCTCCACGTGCTTCCACAGGGGAATTCCTCACCCAACCCTTGCTTGTGGGGCTGTGTCAGTGCATGGACCCCTTAACGCCCAGGCACATGTGGGTTCCTTACTGCTGTCCCTTCAATCTTCATCCTAGATATCCTAGATATCCTAGAATATCTCCACCTTGCTTGGTAATCAGGAAAAAACTGAAGTGCCGCCCCTGTTCCCCCTCTGTCTGCAGCAGCACCAGCGGTTCTACAGGTCCCTTTTGCAGCTGGCGGGCGCCGTGCGGTGCCTGCAGCACTTGTGCCGCTCCGCCATCCGGAAAAACCTGGGCAGCAGGTGCCACAGCCTCATCCCTCTGCTGCCCGTGCCCAAGGCTCTGCGGGAATACCTGCTGCTGGAGCCCGAAGGAGTCGTGCTCTGAAGGAGCAGATCCACGTCCAAGTGCAGCCCTGCCTTCCCTGCCCGGAGCAGGGCAGCATCCGTTCCCGTCAGCCGAGCCAGGGAGCGCCGCTTCCCCTGATAGATGGATGTTTTCCAGGGATTTATAATGTAACTAAAATGTGCTTTCGCCTGTAACTTTGTATAGATTTTTTTCTCTAATTGTGCTTTAAATAGATTATAAAGAGTAATAAAATGATTAGTAGCTGTTGGGAGCCAGCTGCAGATATGAATAATGCTCATTATAGAGGATCCCTGCAAAGCAGGGGGGCTGCTCAGGTGTGCAAAGGCAAGCAGGTCACTCCCATCAGCCCACATGGGTATCAAATCCCCTTGGATAAACCTCACACAAGCAGCACTGGCACCAGAGGTGCAGCGTGGAAGCCCTTAGCAGGATGCAATATCCAGGGGCATTAATATAGACCTTAAAATAGACAAAAAAGTCTATTTTTTAATGTAGAAGGCACCAAGAAAGTGCTGGTTATTCCACACTGGAGGGGGTGACACAGCTCCCCATATCTCCTGGCTTCCCACAACCCATAGAATGCACCAACACTGGCCATACCCATCATGCCTATCACTGTTCCCAGGCTGGCACATGAAAGGGTTGGAAAACCCAGTGGCAGGAGTTTGGGCTTTCATTTCCCACAGTGACTCAGCCGAAGGCACCGGGAGGAGCGAGGATTTGTTTTTCCCAGACCCTCAGCCTCCCCAGATTAATTCCTGTTGAACCAAAGCATGTGCACATGTGTGTCCCTTGGAAGAACAGCTGTGCTCATGCCAGCAGCTCTACCACAGCACTCACCAAATCCTTCCACTGCTTAATTACACTCATTTGGGGTTTTTATATATATATATAAAAATACCTCATTTTGCATGTTTGGCTGGACTTTGCACCAGCACCTGGCCCTATCGTGGCTTGTGTATGGGATGCGGGCAGCATCCCTGGCTCCCGGGGCTGCTGCCTGTGGAGTGTGGAAATGGGGAGGAAAAAGAAATTCCTCCCTCCTCCAGCTTCCACCTGCTGCTTCCGCAGCATCCCTCCCCATTTAAGTTGTATATGGATGGGCAGCTGCACTGCCAAGCTCACCCCGTGTTCCCAGCCTTTGGTGCCCTGCCGTGGGAATGCTTCACGGCAAATCTCCATGACCCCTTCAGACCTGGCACCTCGTGGCTTTAGTGGCTCTTTGACTCTATGGTTTGTTTTGGTGGCTGGAGCAGGGGGTGGGAATTGAAGGGGATTTAGGAGGAAAACCCATCCTGGCCGAGCTTGAACCGGCCCAATCTAAATTTTGGTGCCTCTTTCATCTTTTGTGTGGCGCCCGGAGCGGGAAGAATGACACGTTTTACATCCGGATCGGGCACTTTTGCATGGAGACAAGAGTCCCACCAGGCGACCACATCCTCCCCCCGGAATCCCAAATCCCACATCCCGCACCCGTGGCCTCGCTCTGCAGCCGGTGAGGGGGGAAATGCACGTCCAAGGCAGGGAACGAGGCGGTTCTGGGGGCCGGAGGGGCCGCGGGAGGGGGACACGCGTGGGCCGGTGCGCGGCTCCCCGCGGCCCGCAGGGGGCGCGCTGGGCACGGCCGGGGGGGACCCCGGGCGGGACCCCCCAAAAACACCCGGCAAAGAGGGGACGGACGGGGGGGATCTCCAAAAAACGGCTTTCGGGGGCTTAGGGGGCTTTTCCCCCCTCGGTTTCAGCCGTTCTGCCGGCGGCGCGGGGAGCGCGGCGGCGGGGGATGCTCCGGGCGGGATGATGGTGATGGTGATGATGCTCCGGGTGGGATGATGATGATGCTCCGGGTGGGATGATGATGATGCTCCGGGTGGGATGATGCTCCGGGCTTGGGTTGATAAGTTTGGCGGGCGGGTAAAGAAGCGTTTGGCTATAGATATTTAAATATATATATGCACACACCAAATATATTTTTTTTTATTTTGTTTTATTTCCCCCTCCTGCCGGCGCCTTGTTTTGATGCAGATGTTACGAGGAAAGGATCGTTTTTATTATTTTTTTTTTATTATTATTTTCCAGCAGCTAAAGACGGGAGGTCACATTAACTTCTAATACGGAGACACATAAAAATGCGATTATGCCTGCTAAACAGAACACAGTAGGCTGCTAGTTAAGACAATGAGATTTCCAGGAAGCGATGCATAAATTCTTCAAAAAATGACACATTTTTCACGTTTCATTCCAATTAAATTACTGAGGCAGCTAACACAGCGCTGTGCACGCCATACATTTGGGGGAAATGAAGGCTTTTCTGGTTTTCTCCTTTATTTTTCTTTCTTTTTTTTTTAAGTCTATCTGGATGTGCGTGTTTTATGAAAGACGTTTGATATTAAGCAGCTATTAAGGAAAAAAATGTCAGAGACCTTCTCTCCTCGAGGATTTGTGTGTGTGTGTGTGTGTGTGTGTGGTGGGGCTGCTCCTGCT